AACATCTGGGAAACGTAGAAAAGTGGAAGTACGGTGTTCCTTAAAAACGGTGACTCCGGGTATTTTAGCTGGTGTGATGTTCAAAACGAGCTGAGAGCGGTGCCGGTGAGGATTTCCGTGGCGATTTTTTGCTGCGTAACCGCTTCGGCGGCGGTTCCCTGTCGTGGCGCCCCGCCTGAGGCCGGGCTGCCCGAGCTCCGCTGGCCGCTGTGAGCCGCCCCTCACCGGCCGCTCTTTCAAGGGGCGTCCAGGGGAAATGTTTCCCCGCCCCGTGTAATTTCTCTCACTTTCACCCTTTTTAACCCTCACGAAGTCTTGGTATTTTTCATATATTCGTGCTCTTTGATTATTTTTTACTTAAATGTCTTAAAGCAGAGTTCCTTGCTAATTTATCCCTTGCTCTTTTCTTGTCTGTCCAGTAATGTTGCTGTTCCAATAATGGTCTATATAGCTTGTGTAAAGAAAAATATTGGTAACTTTATAATTTATGCATAATGAAATTTAAACATAATTATAGTGGGAAAATAGTCAAAAGAATTTTTTTTTTCCCCAAGACCATCCTCTTTTTGATCCTCTGCATTTCCTGTTTGGAATTACCATCTTCCCAAGTCTTACAAGCCTGTTCTCTTGAGGAACTGGCACATAAAAGATAGCAACCTTCTCCTTCCAGGCTTTGTTTATTGTTATTATCTTACCTTTCTTAAGCTTTATCACAAGTCCAAACTTCCGCTGTTTCACTTGTTCCAGGGCACCACGCTTGTTCCAAAATTCTGCTTAGTGAAAGTGATAAATTGACTTTGATACATTTTATGCTGTTAATACAAATGCTTAATTTATATTCCCTGTTTGTTGGCATCTGAGCTTTATTTCGTAATGCTTCTGCATTATACAGGGAACAGTTCCCCACCACATTCATGTTCTGTCCTTGCGTCTTTCAAAACACTGCAGCGCTCCTCAGAAGTTCCATGGTTTATTTCTGCTACCCTATCCTCTGTACCCAGTTTTGCAAGCCATTTTTTTTTTTGTCAGGTGGATACCCGTGAGTCGGCTTCGTCTTCTTCAGAAATAATTAATTAGATCGTTCATACGGATTTTAGCAAAAGCTCTCTCAAAATCAGGAAAACACCAGTGAATTTTTATTTTTATCTTGAACGTGTATTTGCTTCCACTTCTGAATAAAACCAAGCTGTTGGCTCAGTATCTTGATGCTTTTTGGAACTGGCCTTTTTAAATCAGTCTCATTCAGGCTGGACAGGACTTTGGGAGGTCTCTGGTCCAACCACCTGCTCAAAGCAGGGTCAGCGCTGACTTCAGACCAGGTTCCCGAGGACTTTGTTGGCTTAAGACCTAGACTATCTCAGCTCCAATGTCACCCTGCCCCCAGTCTTGAATCAACGAAGATGATTGATACAGTTCACATGATTCAAATTGTCCATTTTTTTAGGGTATATTTGTAACATAATCAGTGATCCTTATGCAAGGAGGATCTTCTCTAGCCTTTAAATGTTTCACAGTTTGAATCACAGGAAAATGGTACGTTGAATATAAGAATAGGAAAAACAGACACCAAAAAGGAAAGTGCCATTACAGTTTCACTCTAGAAATTTTTACTTTGCTTTCTTCCACTTCTTTTCAATGTATTAGTAAAACTTTTGGTATTCCTCACCTCTCCTGTATTTGGATTCTCATTCACGTCCACAAATTCAGCAGTCTGTAGCTATATACTATTACATCTCTTCATCCTAACAATACGGCTGTAGGAATTGCAGCTAAAGCTGGCATGTTGCATACAGTGTTCTCACACATGTAGCTGCGAATGCCAGAACTCAAAAAAGAAGAAGGTGCTGGGGGAAAAAAGTCAAACTGAGCATAGTCAACCAGAGCTAAGAGCATTAAAACAGGCAAAATACAGTATCATCTTCTTGGGACCCTCTGGGCAACCTAACAAGATGATAAGAACAGGGGAGAGTGGAGATCAAACACAGCAGATATTTGCCAAGAAAAAACGTCTGACTGAATTATTTAACTTCTAAAAATTTTGAGTGAGAAATTATGTTTTACCAACCTTACCAAAAGGACAACCGCTAACTTTACTAGTAAGTCAGGTGAGAACAGTAACTCTAGAAACTCCTAAGCAAGTTAAACGTTGTTTTTCCTATATCATTAATGAATTTTCTAAAGAAAACTGAAGCTCATGAGTCATTTACTCTTATAGTCAAACTGCTTTCTGTATTTGATTTAAATATTTATGAGGCATCACAGCTGAACAGGAATAAGCAAACCTATTCAGCAGCCAACTTCACTTCAGCTGGAACTGCCTTTCATTTTTCCAAGTTACTTAAGCCATTTTCTCTTCTCTGTAGTTTTGCAGAGAGGGAAGGGAAGCAATTCTGTGATGGAAGACAGCTCTTAGTTAGCTTTGCCTTGTTTCCAGCTTGCCACCAGAGAATTCATTCCGAAGCTGTTTACAACATGTACAGATTAACACTCCTAAGCAAACCTTAGTCCAAAAGTAGTCCACAAATTATACTCTTCCTCTTGTCCCATAGTTATGAAGCCATCTAGGAGAGTTCAATGGAATAATGGCTAGTGTTGATAGTAGAAAAACATTATTAGATTAAAAAAAAAAAAATTTTGTTCTGGAGCCTAGTATCTCCCGCTTTTCTGAAATGCCTGGGATGTATATAGCGAACAACTAACACATGAAGGAAGAACAGAGAAACAGAACATTTGGTTTCCTGTTGGCTTAACTCACTGAAATGGCACAATTGGAGTTCAGTAACTGCATGGCTACAGTGATGCTACAACTAAATGGCCCCAGTGGCCAACTGCTGCTGAATGGGGCTTGCTCCCTTCACCCCTACCCACACATTACGGCTACGTTCCTCGAATCTGCAGTAGCACTTGTCTCACTACACAGCGAGAGAGCTCCAGCTGGAAAACTGTGTCGCCCCCAAAGGGTGAGTAGCTTTGAATTTATTTTTTAATAGCTTTGAAGTTTTTGAAAAACTTAAACCCAGTTATTTTGCAAGATCAGCTTTCCGCCAAGAATTGTCTTATGGAATCAGACAAGTGCTAATGCTGACAAGAGAGGGGAAAAGGGCAGATTGCCTCTCTGGACAGCAACTAGCTGCTAAAATGTCTTACCTGCATTGATAAGCCATTCCCTGAGAAAAATTGTCCCTGACCTCAGCTTGCATGGAATTTGTTGCCTCTACTTCACACCAGGAAGAGCACTTGCAGGCCTGAAAGCTTATCTGTCTTTAGTAAATACACTAGCTTGTAAATAAAAGATACTGTCTTTCTGCAAAGGGTGCCTTGTATCTTTAATTAAAGACTTGCAGCTGTGTTTTCTACTTAAACACACTTTACAGGCGGAAATCCTGGTGCGCACAAAAGGAGGAGTTACTAACATGTTTTATGCGCCTGCAGTCTCAACGGGCATTTTGAACAATGCAGTACACAGCAATGGTAAGTCATACAGGAAAGCTGCAGGTGGTTGTTTGGTGCAGCCTTTAAATCGGAAGATCATCCATTGTCTGAAGAAGGAAAGCACATGAATGTTAACCTAATCTCTCAGTGGAGTGTTCTTATCTCTCTCATCTTTTTCTTCCTCTTCTACCCCACAAGAAATAGTTTTTGTAATATGTTCAAAGCATCTAAACACTGCCTGAAGAATCTAGCTCACACTCTGAATACATGTTGCATCACCAGATTTCTCTTTGGAGATAACAAGTAACATGCACTTCTTAGAAAAGATTAAAAAAAAAAAAAGGACAAAGCAGGAATCCATCTCTTCAAAATAAAGATACAAAAACTCATCAATTGCCTTTCTAAACCTTGATTCTTTGCAAAGATAGTTACTAGGCACTGCATACCCAACTGCGCTATAACAGCTGCAGACCTGCGGTCTCTGCACCACTGAAGGAAATTGCAGAAAAAATAACCTGCTAGTAGCCAGAATCAGTGTTTGCACGTTTAGATTATTGAAAGATATAGAAACCAACCCACAGATGCTGTTTAGCTCACACCTTGCATAATCCCTGACAGTACACTATTCTGATTCAACAGGGTCAAAGCACAGGAAAGTAAACAATCCTTTTTGAATTCCTCAGGCTGAACCAAATTAGTTTCTCTGAAGATCTAGACTACCTAACCATTCATCCTACAGGATACTCTCTCAATCACGGATGGAAGGTCGGGGTCCAAGTTTAAAATGCAGCCAGGCCGATGGCTCCCTCCCACGCTCCGCACTCTCTGCTTTATATCCGTTCTCACTTGACACCACCCTAGCAGGTGACATGCTTTGAGAGGGAAGTGTTTCTGCCACCGCAGCTTCCCAAATAGCTCATTCTGGGCTTAGGTGAACACCAGGTTTGGCAGAGGGGAAGCTACAGGGGGATGGCGGGGATGAAGAAGGAGAGCAGCCTCTTTTGGCAGTGGGCAGTTGAAAGACTTTTCTCACGAGGGTGTAACCTTGATAATAGCTAAGCCATGCTCTGTTTGACAAATGACAGTCAATTGTACTAACAGAATAAGTGCAGGCGTTCTTCCTGCTTTTACACAGTACTAAAAGCAGAAGTACTACCCTTACTTCAGAAGGCAGAAGTCTAAATCATGTATGAAAACTAAGAGTGACTCCATTACAATGACACTGTAATTTAAAACCAAAAAACTTTGCTAAAGACAGAAGAGCCCTACATTATTGTTTCCTTCATAATCTGCCTAGTGAAAGCTCTTCCTTCCGCTGCCATAACTGCAGGGGAAGGAGACCAAGCCCAACAGAGAGAAGGCTGACAGCAAACGCTTGGTGACAGCTCCAGTGGCCAGGGGTGCAGCCCCTTCAGCTGGGAGGTGCAGGAACACAGCAGCACATGCAAAGCACCAAGTCAAAGATGGAAGGCTTCTAGCGCTGCAGGAGAAAACAAAATGGGATACTGGACCCAGGGGACCTCTAGCCTTGGTATGGCAGCAAAGGGAGGGAAACGGGATTGTGAGACTAGGAAGTCTAAAAAGCACAAGCACTTAATCTGTGATAAAACAAATCAAGTAACAAGAAACTTTTGATTAAGTGTAGAAAAATCGGGAACAAAAATCTTATAGAAGTGATACTGTCCCATCGCAGAGTAGTAAAGGTAAGCACCCTCCACTTTCTTCCCTCAGTGCAAAGGGAGGGAACGGCAGTGAGGATCCTCAAAACATCACCATA